GTCAAAGGCTTTAGACAGATCAATAAATACTCCTAATGTAAAATAGTCATCATTAAAGGCATTGGTTACATGAGTTACTAACTCGGTCAAAGCGTGATCAGTTGAATGATTTTTTTTAAAGCCAAATTGCTTGTTGTACAACATGTTATTTACTGTTAAGTAGCTGTTTAGCCTATTATACATTATACGCTCGAGTAGCTTAGAAAAGCATGGTAAAACTGATATTGGTCTATAATTTGAAGAATCTGTGTCATCGCCAGACTTAAAAATAGGCAAGACCCGTGCAATTTTTAATTTTTCTGGAACTGTTCCAGTTTGAAGAGAAAGATTAAAAATGTGATATAAAGGAGTTTCTATAATATGAAAAACTGATTTAACAACATTTATGCTTATATTATCAAAACCTACACTTGTGTTGTTTTTAAGATTATCTAGAGCATATCGTAACTCATTAATATCTAGTTTAGATTCGTCCATGACCTTATCATATATTTTTAAATAAGAATCAAACGATGATGAGCCTGAAGGAATTTTTTCAGCTAAGTTTGGACCAATATTAAGAAAGAAGCTGTTTAGATTTTCAGCTACTATTGACTTGTCATATATAATTTTACCATCTACTAAGAGTTTCTTTGGTTGAATACTTATTCCATTATTTTTTCTGCTAATAATTTCTTTAATTACGCTCCACGTACTTTTGGCATTTCCGTTAGTTTTTTTTAACAACTTTGAATAGTAAATTTTTTTTGATTGTTGTTTAGTTTTTTCAAATATATTTTTATAAAGTTTGTAGTTTGTCTCATTTTTATACGTTTTTTTTTTTAAGAATTTTTCATACAACTTTTTTTTTTTCTTTGAAGATTTTAATAAGCCTTTAGACATCCATGGAGCTTGATATGACTTGGTATTTATAACAATTTTTTTCTCCGGAAAAGCTTTTTCATATTGCTCACAAAAAAATTTAAGAAATAGTTCATAGGCATTATTTACCTCTACCGATTGCATTATAAGGTCCCAATCAACGTTATATTTTAAAAGGTTTTGAAATTTTTGTAAGGAGTATTTATTGATCTGCCGCCTGTATATTATAAATTTAGAAGAACTATTATTAATTGTTATATTATTAGTTATTAGAAAAGTAGGAAAATGATCTGATAAGTCTGTTTTGATTATACCTGTGGAAATATAGTTGTTATAAAAATTGTTAGTGATTATATTATCAAGTAAAGTAGAAGATTTCTTAGTTATTCTGGTTGGTTTATTTATTGTTGGAATAACATTATGTTGAAGAAGTTTATCGATAAAATGCTTAATTTTGTTTGAAGCTTGTTTTAACAAGTTCAAATTGATATCGCCGACAACGTAAATATGCTTCCGTTCTTTATTGACTTTAGTTAAAAATGTGTTTAAGTGAGTCTTAAATTTTTTCAAGTTACCAGATGGCTTTCTATAAATAGCATTAACAATTATTTTTTTTGTGGTTTTATTATAAAGTTCAATGCACAACGACTCACAATCTGTTTCATTAACGCAAAGGTCATTACGAGGGAAAAAATCAATTGAATTGTGGACAAAAATACTAACGCCTCCGCCACCATAACTATCACGTGGTTGATGAATTGACGTGTAATTAATTAAATCAAACTGTGTATTTTGTTTATTGCATTTACACCACGTTTCTGTTAGACAAATAATGCTAAAATCATGTTTTATTTCGTCCAATAAAATTTTTAAATTTTCAAAGGCTTCGGATGTTAATATTTAAAATTGAAAATGCGTTTTTATTATTTTTAAGATATTGTGCAGTTTGGTAAACTGAGTAGTATTTGCTTTCAAATTTCAATTTGTCAAAACAGTCTGTTTCAATGTCATTATCATTAATATTTTCATTAGGAAATTGAAATATAGAGTTTTGCTCCATTTTTATACATGGTTTTATATAAAATTTTGAAACATAAATAAAAAATAAAATTACTTATTTAGCTTTTAGATTAAACTCTCTCACTATTAACTTATCGTACTCAATAATAGCATATTTTCCAGCGTTACGCTCAATCTTCATTTTTTCACTTAACTCGCGTCTTATTTTGTTAGTTTCAAATGAAAAATCTTCATTAATAAAAATACCTGTACCTTTCAGCATCTTTGCGTTTTCCAAAATTTTTTCTTTGTCTTTATAGTTTAACAGTTTGAGTATGATTGTTCTGGGTTTATTCTTTATTTTCTCTGCGTTAAAGCGTCTTTCGATACGGTGCGCTCGTTCAATAATAATGTTACTTATTTTTAACTGATCATTAAATATTTGTTGAACTTTTTTTTCAGTTTGGTCCCATGTTTCTTTTTCATTTTCTCGTACACCGTCAATTTTAATATTGTTTCTTCTGTTCCTATCTTCTAGTTTTCTAATTTTTTCTTGTAGTGCATCATTTAATTTGCTTGCTTCGATCTGCGTTGTTTTTAGCTGTACGGTCTGATTTACAACTTTAGTAATTTCTGTATTCATTAACTTTTTAAGTTCTTTTTCGACGTGTACGAGTTTTTCATTAATTAAGGTATCTTGAGTGAACTCAATACTTTTTTGTAGATCGTCAATACATTTCTGTAAGCTTTGTTGTTTTTTTTCAACTTTTGAAATACGATTTGTTATATTTTCTATTGAATGTAAAATTTTATCCATTTTGTCGTTTTGTATTGAGGCATTTCCTGATACTATTTTTAAAAGCGAACTTTCTTGCGCTTTGAACTTTTCCTCCATTATAATTTCAATTTCTTTTTTACTTGCCATTTAATAGTTTACTAATTAATTAACAGTGAATTTCTTCTTTTTTTTATTTGTAAAAATATGCTAATTTAAAAATGTGCGTCCGTTCACTATGAAAGCCAGATGTGAAAACATTTCTTGTGCAACATTTTCGTGCGATTGGAAACAGTTTTTTTATTCTAGCAAAGAGATTGAAAAGCAAGGTCCAGGAATGTCACCATTTGAAATAAATTATAGATTTGTTGTTGCAATGAAAGAGATAGGAAAAGATCATTCTGGTTTGGAGAAATTTTGTGGTTTAATGAACTTACCTCCTCAAATGAACATAAAAGCATTTAATGATATTCAAGATAAAATTCTTATCATATACCAAAGTGTAGCTGATGTGAAAATGAAAAATGCACAAATGAATTTTGATATTTTAACAACGATATCCAACCAAATGATTTTGATATTAATGTAATAGCTGATGTTGTTGTTTCCTGTGGCAAAAAAGGGGTCATTCTTCACTTAATGGTGTTGTTACAGTTATTGCTAGTAACTCAGGGAAATGTGTTGACTAACGGGTTCTTTCAAAAATATGCAGTGCCTGTACATCATGGGAATCAAAGAAGATAGCAATCCAGAACTTTATGAAAATTTTTTGAAAACTCATAATTGTTTAAATAATCACGAAGGTTCTGCTGGATCTATGGAAGTTTCTGGAATTGTAGATTGTTTTATGGAATCTATAGACAAAAGGGGAGTTCAATATACTAATTACATTGGAGTCGGGGGTTCCAAAGCACATGATGAGGTACACTAGGTACATTTGCTACTCAGTACTGTACCAAAATAGACCAAGATAGAACAAAGATGATGGAAAAAAAGTTGCTTGACTTAATAAAACAAAGAAAAAGCTGAACGAAAAGGTTTTACAGATATAGTAAATGAAAGTGAAGGTGCATCTTATGAAGCAGAAGTTTTTTAGATATTAGTTTTTTGTTACTTTTTAAATTAAATTTATGTTAAGGTAGTTAGTGTTTTTTTAAATGTAGTTATTGTATATTATCTTTTTATATTCAAGCTTTTTTTCATTGATTGAATTCTATTTTGATTAAATATTTTTCAAATATTAGTGTTTACACATTTTTCTTTTTTCTATGTTTTTAATAATGCTTAAGTCATTTTTTTTTCAATAATTTTTTAACTTTTTTATATATTAATTTTTTTTTTCCTATTAAAAAAATCTTTATTATTTTTTTCAATATATGAGTTTTTTGCACGCTGCGATAAATATCTTGAGATTGGTTTGTCTGATTGTGTTGAAATTTTAGAAGTTGTTTATCATATTCACATTCACCTTACCAAAAGTTGCTTATCATATACACATTCACCTTACCAAAAGAATTTATGTTAGTTAACTGGTTCTAAAGATAAGGTCTAGGTTCTGAGCCTTTTCGGGGCTTTTTTTAAGGCCTTAAACCAGTTTTCTTACAAAAGCTTCAATAGTTTGTTAAATTATTTGATTTTGGCAGGGTGAGTGTAATCATCTGATATCCAAAAGCTGTGAAAATTTCATGATCATATCATTACTAGTTTACAGCCTGTTTATCGCACCGCGTAGACCATATTTAGGGTCCACGGACCCCAAATTTTGACCAAAAAAAAAATTTTTTTTAATTTATTTTTCCTTTACTGTCCTTTAAATATAAAATACTTTTTCTTATATGAAAATCACAAAATATGAGTGCATTTTAAAAATTTTGATTTAATTAGTATAGAACCACCTTAATTGATATAAATTTTGCACTGCGCTCTCCCCACAATAAATAAACAGATTTTGACAACTTCAACTTACAGCAGATAGATAAAATCAAGTTATTCTTAATATATCACATTATAAGAGGCATTTTAGGCATTTCTTTGCAAACTGCTAGGTACCGTATAAATGGATGAGTAGTAACAAGATAATTGTTTTTCTGGTACAACCGACTGAGAATATAGTGTTGTGATTGCCATTCAGGTTAGTGTTTAATGTTATGATTTACAACAGTAAGTAATGTCAAAGCCAAATTAAAATGCTGCAACTGTAGGGGTCTGAGTCATACTTAATTGGAAAAAAGATTTACTGGTCTATCAGCTGTCTCTAGACATCTAAAAACTCATCTGGTTTTTGTCCGTATTCACCCCGTTTTACGCTACTAAAATAATTATAGAAATTAAAAAAAAAAATAGGTTAGAAATAATGGAACGTATATGCTAAAATGAGTGAACTAGCTTTTTTATTATTATTATCGTAAATATTTACAGTTTTAAACTTTGCGAACTTCAAGTTCAATGAAAATATAGAAAAGTTAAAAATTTATCAGCAGCTAGAATCCGGGAAAACATTCACTAAACGGCTTGTTATGTTTAGTCTCAGCGTGCGCTTTTGCTTGGTTGTATTCTTTAACCTAAAATTAAAAATTTTAATTACATTAATTTCAGAACAATTAAACTTTGAAATAACACTTTAAAACAATTATTTATCAAGTCTACGCACACTACGAACTGTTAGAGATACGCTAAAAGATGTGGTTACTAAGTATATATTGCATATATACTTAGCAAGTATATAACGCTACTTGTTGTATTATGACTTTTTACAATGTAGCATAGCAACTACACTCTAAATTTAAAAGTGTTAAATCACACCGTTTTGGCGTTAATATAACCTCAAAAAGTGTTAATTGAAAATAATTTCGGAAAAAGGTGTAAATTTATCAAAACGGTGTAAAATAACACCTTTTTTGTTAACTACACCGTTTTAGTATAAAATTTAAATAATTTAAAGTTTTTCTATTTTTACACCGTTTTAATGAAACGCTGTAAAATGGTGTAAAACGGTGTAAAGCTGTTTTACACCGTTTTACAAAAATATAATTTCAGATTTACACCGTTTTATGAAAAGGTGTAAAATTACACCTTTTTGGTATCAGCATAGCCTTAAACGGTTGTTGTAAATGTATTTAAGTGGTTTTGTAATGAATATATTTGAGAATCGTTACTCTAAATAAACTTTCGATAAAATTTGTATGTCAGAGTTATACTAAACGATTAAAGTTAAAATTTGTAAATTAGAGTTATGCTTATTCTAAACAGGCGCTTAACAAGAGCTTAACAAGAAAAATATGTAATCAGAGTTATACTTAACGAAGATAAAATTTTATCTCTAACTTACAAATTTTGCTTAAAATGTTTAAACGTCTTAATACATTGTGTTTGTTGCGAGAAAACAACGTTAGCTTTTAAAATGGCCAGCGATATAAGTACGGTACCGTTATTATTGATTTTTTTTTTGCTTGGTTGTGTTTATACATGGATTTCATATGAAACTATCTATAGGTACTGTTCGAAAACATTGTAAAAATGCTCGATAAATAGGTTAAAGAAAATATCATGTCTTCACTGCATGGTTCACAAAAATTATGGCTGTGTACAGAACTAATATAGAACGAATTTTATGAATTTATTGAAAAGTTGTTGTATGTATATATTTATTGGAAATAAAATTATATATAAAAGCAAAATATATATATATTTTAAACTTTTTCAAATTTACACCAAAACGGTGTAAATTAACACTGAAACGGTGTACAACATGAAATACACCAAAACGGTGTTAATTAACACCAAAACGGTATAAATTAACACTAAAACGTCGTGCAGCATGAAATACGCCAAAACGGTGTAAATTTACACCAAAACGGTGTTAATTAACACTAAAATGGTGTGCAGCATGAAATACGCCAAAACGGTGTAAATTAACACCGTTTTGGAGTATTTCATGCTGCACACCGTTTTGGTGTAATTTAACACTTTTTAATTTAGAGTGTATTTAAGGCAACTTATTTAAAGTTCCCTAAAACAATTTTAAAAGGTTGTTAAATTAAGTAATAATATACTTTAAGATTTATTTAGATTTTATAATTAAATAGTAAATATATACTATAATCTTATTGTAAAAAGATCGAATAAAAATGAGAAATAAAATGAACATATTAAATTTTTTTTTCACAAGTAAAATTTAATCTAAAAAAAAAACATTAAAAAAAAAATCAAGCAATAACATAATAAAGATATGAATATCTGCTATCTATTTAGTGCAAGGTAATAGTTGACAACAAACTCATTAATAAAAAAATAATTACAAAAAATTACAATACATACAATAAATTATAATTAGACAATAAAAGTTTTAGTTTTTTTGAATAAGACAACTATTTGATAACATCTGATGTTGAAAATATTTATAAAATGTTAAAAAATTCATTTAATTTTTTCGGCCATTTCAAAAAAATTCTGTATTATGGACCGTTTTAAAGATATAACAAAAAGTGCTGCAACTCTTTCTTGCCATTTATTTGGGTGTTATGGATGTAGTGAGTTCTGTGAAACACGCACAGTTGAGTAACGGCAACAACAGCATCAAATTCGATATTAAAATATTATAGGATAACAAAGTTATCATTTTTTTATGATTTTGCTTTATTTGAGACCCAACATGATTTTAAATAATTTTTTTTCGATATTAGAAACTCGTTATATGTTTAACGGTTTTAAAGGACCCCTAAAAACATTTATTTTTTAAAACTAATGTTTTTTATCATATAGAACACATAAGGGGGTGGCAGAATATATTTTTAAAAAATGTTGTTTTTTGGGACACCCTACTGTATATTGCAGCTACTGTACAGTGAGTTTAGCAAAAGGTTCCACATGAAAGGTTGTATATTGACATTTTTAATCATTTGCAATTAACATGCATATGTTAATGAAAATGAATGTTTATTTTATAATGCACTTGATCAATATTGTAAACCCTTCAGGATGCTTTAAAGTCGAAAAGTTGTTAAAGTATGCGTGGAAAATGTGAAAAACATACATCTGTGACATTAAGAAACGACCGATCGTTGTGGAATTGGAAAATTCTAAATTACCTATAATCTTATAACTAAAAAAACAGAGATTTTTAATTTTTTTTAACAGGTTTTTTTACATTATTAGGACATATTTTTTACGATTTTTTATGTAAAAAAAACTTTGCAGTAATGGATCTACCATACATTATAATACGTTAAGATAAAATTAATTTAAATGAATACTTTATTACTTTAACTACCACTTTATAAAAAACGTTTGTGTCCTCCCGGTCGCCCCATGTGGCCAATGGTTAACTTTTGCTGCATGTTGCCAAATTTTGAAAATTTAACAAAAAAATTACTTTACAAAAACATATATAAAATTTGCTAAAAATTTTTTATTTAAGTCATTGTTTTAAGCAACTAAATAAATAATAAACACTTGCTACCAACATGTTGATCAATTAATTTTAATTGACCACAAGCCATTGCAGCGTTGACCACAAACCATTATAGCGTGCTGTAACAGTTTGTGGTCAAAATAAATAAACTACAAAACCCACTTTTAATAATCAAAATTGAAAAAATTAGGCGACAATTTCAACACGATGCGGCAAGATTTGTTTTATAAACTTTTAGAGGCCAAGTGGGAAAAGAAGATTAACAATATAGTAGATATCAAGGCTGACATTATTTGAAGGGTTTGAATATATCGGATGATATTAAAGAGGATTTTATGAATAATCTTGGAAGAAAATTGAAGCAGAAAACAGAACTAGGACACGGTTTGAGACTAAGTACCAGAACTGGTTAGATAAAAGTCAAGCCTGTAGATATTATTCAACCTTCAGACACACTTGTTAATCCTGGTAATTAAATATGTGTTTATAATAATTATTTAGCGTTATATGCCTTCAATGAAAATGTAGTCAACGCCAATATTTGAATGTTATCATTATTATTTTAATATTTAAATTTTTACAATTCTCTTCAACGTGAATGGATAGGAAATTCAACTAAACACATTTAGAGTTTTTTGACACCAGAGACCAGGAAGAGATATAAATATAAGAAAATAGAGATAAAAATATACAAAATTAAAAATAGAGAAATAAATATATAATATAAAAAATATAAATATAAATATATAAGATAAAAAATAGAGATATAAACAAGGTGGTCCGAAGAGAGGGAGAGGGGGCATAGAGGGGTGTCTAGCCCCATACAAATTTTTAGTTAGCACATCAGACACTGGAGTCAGCAAAATAGAAGCTTTAGTTTACAATCGGCAAATGTCAGCTAACGAGGACTTTTTTTTGGCTTTGGTCGGAAAAAAACTGATATGTAACCACCCCATTAAAAACTCTTCGGGACGGCCCTGGATATAAATATAAAAAATAAAAAATAGAGATATAAACAAAGCTGGAGACTTTTTGAGACTCTGCATCCCTTACAAAAAGAAAACTGAATTACCTAAATTTTTTAAATATTTTAGCAAATCTTTTTTATCCATTTAATTAACCCAAAATTAAAAATTACAATTTTTTAAAATAATTTAACAAAATTAGCTTAAGTGGCATATAATTAAAAACTAGTCGCTGGAGTGACACCTAAATAAAATAAACAAACAAACAAAAAAAACAACAGCAATATTAATAAATAAAAGCAAGTATAAAATAATTTAAAAAGTAGTATTAAGCTATATATAATAAATTAAATAAAAAGACAAAAAAAAAAATAATAAATAATAAAAATAGTTGGCAACAACATATTTCATAACCATTCATTATGATGACATCAAGTTGCTTAAAAATCAAAGTTGAAATACAAATTATTGGACACATTCAACTTTAAACAGTTTTAGCATTATTATTTGAATTTTTTTTACATACTTTAAAATTAACCAGACTTTCCTGTCGGCATTTACAGGGACATGTTTTTTTTGTTCCGCTATATATTTCTTTTTTACTTTTTTTATTCATACATATTTAAATTTATTATTTTATTTTAAAAATATTTTTTATATTTATTTGTTTAAATATATGATATTGTTTATCATATATTTAAATATATGAGATTGTTTATCATATATTTAAACACTTAAATTTATCTATTAATTGCAAAAATCTGGCTTTTAACCAAACACAAATTAAAGATAGGAGGCCCTACAAATTAAATGAGAAAGTTCATCACTTAATAAACAAACTTCACATTATGCTATAAATTTATCTATTTAATTTTGCTGCCAGTTTATTATTATTTTTTTGATAGTTGGCTATTTTGATTAGTTATTTTATTATATAATATAATATATTTTATTATATAATATATACATATATATACACACACACATATATATATATATATATATATATATATATATATATACATATATATATATATATATAATTATATATATATTATTTTTTCCATACATTGAAAAAAATTTGCAGCGTAAATATCAAATTTAAAATATTTAAATGCTAAAATTAAATTTACCATAGTTATTTCTTGCAAACATATTTTACATTTGGCTTTAACTTGAGGATTTTTTTGTGAAACAAGTTTGCCATCTTTATCTCCAATACCTAGATATATGAAAAGGTATTTTAAAATATATTCATATAAGCTTAACTTTAAATAAAGAAAGATTTTAATTCTAATACTACTAATTTAAGTTAAAATAAAACAAACAAAAGTTTTCAGAAATGTAAATTATGTTAATATTATTTTTGTTAACTTGTGTACAAAAATCATTATGTAAAATACAAAAATTAAATGAATAAAAAAGTATTAATATAACAAGTAAAACATTTTATATAAATTATAACAAACTTTAATAAATAAAAAATTTTGCTTTAATTCTAAGTATATAAAAATATCTAATGCCTAAATTATCACAATTTTGAAAAATCGTGTCAAAAGCATAGCATTGACTAGATAATGTAATAAATAATTTAAACTGATAAACCAGGAAGACATAAGCCAACCATTAATACAAATAAAAGTCTATAAACCATATTATACTTTGATGTTTTAGGTAACATAATATTTAAATAAGTAACAAAATTCACTTTGCATTTTATCATAGGAAACACGCTTATTACTAAAGATAAAATTACTTCAACATTATTAAATTTAACATAAGGTTACATAATGTTTTAAGCTTAAAAACATATAATGGCATAAGGTTATATAGTGTTTTATGGTTAAGAAAACATGACATGTGGTTATGTTTTAAGGTCAAAAAAACATAATGAAATAAGGTTATGTTTTAAATACTTATAATAATAATATTTTAGATCAGCTGATATCAATATACTTCTATATAAGTCTCAATATATATAAGTCTCATTGTAATTTCATTTCTTTAATTTTGTAATTTCTATGTGTGCCTTTAATGGAGCAATAGTGTGGCATACTTTTAGTACCAATGTGCATGACTTGCCATTTTTCTTTATTGAGCTTTAATACCCAAATATCACACCCAATATCACAGTTTGAAGTTTATTTGGTGCTTTTAAAACGCTTTCATCATTATCAATTTGCTGTCATCGACATATAGTTTGCATTCAGTAGTTAAATGGTTAGATAAATTGTTTATATATATATATTAAAAAGAAGTTGACCCAGAACAGAGGTATGTGGCATTCCACTGAATACTTCACACCATTTAGATATATTTTCACCCATAACTACCCTTTGTGTTCTGCCGATTATAAAATATTTGATCCATTTTTTAATTAATCGCTTATAATTATCTATTAATCGCTTATAATTATCATTGATACTGGTATATTGGATGGTTTATTAGATTGTTGGTTGCATCTTTACACGCTTTAAAACTTTTTATTTGTTTAGTAACATAAAGTTGGAACAAGATATTTTATGTTATTTCTAAAACCTTTTTTCTTTTTGATTACACAAGTGTTGGGGGAGGTTAGGTAGGTCCCCTATTTATAATAAAGAGGGGACCGACTTAAATATAGAGAACCTACCTAATTAGAATTTTTGAGCTTTTACTTCTCCCCATTTTCCTTATCATGTTTGATGTTGATCTTGCAAACAATTTTTAAAAATGCATATGTAAGCTTTATCACCAAACTTTTCCTCAATAGATTTATTTTTTTCTTAATATATTAGGATGTTATAAATGTCTTTTAAACGCTCTTAATATGCTCTTTTCAGGGGCTATTCTAAACCATTTTTGAAAGCGTTGAAAACTGTCTAGAATAGCCCCTGAAAAGATCAAGCTGCCATAACAGTCAAGTGTATGGATTTTAATAGAAATTGACGAAGTTATGTCATTTTAAGGTAACTTAAAAAAAAGATATTCAGTTTCTTCAACAAACCTATTTTAAAAATTTGATTCTTTTGTATTAATGCTCAATTAAAATATTGCATTGAAGCCCTTTCTAATGATATATAACAACCTAGTGTTTATTCAGTCCAAATTTTTATGTTACATACCTGTTATTCTTCCCTCCCCCCCCCCCAAAAAAAAATGCAAATTTTAAAAAAATTTTAAATTTTATTGAATTAATAATTTTATTTTAATGCAGTCTACACAACTAAGTTATGCACATTACTTTTTTATTTTTACCAATGGAATCTAGTTTTAATCAATTACATAAATGACTGATGAATTTATGAAATTTCTTGAATAGTGGTAGCAATTAAGTTTATTTTTAAAGGGATCCCCATATCTTTAATCTTAACTAAAAATGTTAAATTTTTTTTTTTTTTTTTGTTTAAATTACTAAATAAAAAAAAAATTTGTAACTTTAAAAAAATTTAATAACAAATTGTAACAATTAAAAATATACATTTAGTTTTTGCATTTTATTAGTGCAACCTGATTTTAACATTCCTAAGTTTGATTCTTTAACAAGATTTTTATATTAAAAATATAGTGTTTTTTCACATATATACAAAATCTATATTATTCGTCCAATATGTATATACTTATTCTATTTTTTAAATTGTATTACTTATTATATCCACTAGTAAGCTAGAGCATTTTCTTTCCTTAACTAAAGCTGATTCATACAATATATAAGGCATTCTCTTCAAGTTTTTTTACTTTCCTGAAGCTGCTACCTCCCTACATGCTGAAGTTGCTACCTCTCTGCTGATAATCAAATCACTTTAATCTTCTCTAAAAAATGTTGTGCGATAAAACGTTTTTATTTTCTAATCTGTCCTTTAACTCTTACCCATCTTAATGTTTTCCTTTTATATACAACCTACAACTTTTTGTTTTCAGTTAACCATTTCCTAGATTTTTAACCCTATCCTCTATTTTAAAGTAACTCATAACTTAATACTGGTTGTTTAGAACCTTGTTGGAAATAAGAGTTTAAAAATATATATGCCAGTACTTAATAAATTATAAATGTTAATACAAAATTATAATATATAAAGTATTATAAATTTTTTTCTAGCCCTGGCTATAAACCCCTGCTAAATCTTATAATTTTGATGGAGTCGGGTTTGCAAAAAGTCTTATTTTTAGCATTATTACAACTATTTTTAATCCTTATTAAAAAAGAAAACCTTGAAAATAACTGCAATCAAGGGTGTATAAACTTGTTAGAATTATTTTTAATTTTGTATTTTTACCATGTTATACACTAATAAGTGGATCCAAAGCATGGCTTAAATCTAAAAAATAATTCTAAAGAAAAATTTGGTAAATCTGTCACTTGCAAAAAGATTGGTATAAAAATATGTAAGATTTTCTACAAGTTTTTTTGTTTAAAAAACACATAGAATTAGATTCAGTATAAAGCATCCACACGAAGACACTGGATTAGAAATTTGCACACAAAAAAAAATCACGTTTGTTAAAAGTAGACTTTTGAGGAGATTGTGTCAAAGCTAACAACAATAGACGGCCTCACCATAAACGCCATAACAAAAAGTGATTCTTTAGAAAATCATTGTCTACAAAAGGCATGCAAAATTCCAATGCATGTTATGAATATGATATAAAATTAATTTGATTTACCATGGTTTTAATGTTGTAAGGGTTGTCATTTTGACGCTTATTTGCAGTCCTGTTGTGTAGTGTTAAAAATTGTATTGTATTTCCATAAATGAAAACTTTGATTATGTTATAGTACATTTTTTAAACATAATACATAACACATGGTTTTAACAATGATTTATAGTTTTTTCCTTACATAATTGATTGCATTGATTTATTTGTTGCTTTTAATTAGATTATTTGTTATGGCCGCCATGATTACAACTGTCACAACAACAAAAAAACGTAAAATGCTTGTAAATCTTAAAGTAAAAACAATTTTTTCACCATTCCATTCGCTGCATTATTTTTGACAAAGTTGTTTTGTTCCGAAGTGGTAAAAAGTAAGCGTTACAACAGTCATGCTACATTAATTTTAGAAATTTTCACTCACCCTATAGTTAATTTTTAAAAGACTTAAATGCTCTCTCTGTTACATGCTAAATTATATGATAGTATTTCACATTTCTGGAAAGTTTCAATTTTTATTTTTGGTTCATTTTTAATAGCTTAAAGAGTGTCAAATGCTATGACTGCCACTCTTGTGGAATTTCCCATATATATATATATATATATATATATATATATATATATATATATATATATATATATATATATATATATATATATATATATATATATATATATACATATATATATATATATACATATATATATATATATATATATATATATATATATATATATATATATATATATATATAAAGCAATAAAAATTTGTTCCAGGTTATAAATTGAAGATGCCAGCAATAATTCAGAAAGTAATGGAAGACAAGAAAGTCATAATGAAAGCAGAATTTTTCCAATTCCTAAACTAGTTGATGTTATGTTATATTAGACAAAAGTACTTTGACGCTAAATAAAAAGAAGGATATTAATATTTGTAATTTTAAATCAGTAAAAACATAAGGTCTTGGAAACCTTTACAATTTAAAAAACCTCATAAAAGAAAATTATATTTTCATTTTTCAAGGCAAGTGGATAGCAGAATTAAACTTTATACTCAGCATTAACGGCCATCAAGGGGACATCTATTGAATCAGAAAGAGCATTTTCTGCAGCAAAACTATTTATGGGGAAAAATTAATACTAATTAAATGATAAATCAATTGTTTATTCTTTCTAAGACTTTTTAAATTAAAAAACAATTTAGATTAGTGCTAATAAAAATTTCTGCTTAAAACCGCTTGTTTGTTATAATATTTAATATGTGATTTTGTGATGTGATTTTAGATAAAACAAAAATAATGCCGTGATCCAGGGTTATAGATCTGAAGATCACTACAACTAATGCATTATTTAAAAACTACTAAGACTATTGTATCAATAGTCTTTAGATAATGCATTAGTTGTGGTGGCCATGTAGTCCAGTCAAAGATGAAGTGTCCTGTGATTAGAAGATCTGAGAAAAGTTCTTTTTAAAATAAATTGATACAATAACTTTTAGAGACTTTACATTGGTTATTTAAAATGCCATTACTGATATAGATACAAACTGCGTGTTGATTTGATTTGTAATCATTTTAAACATTAATTATTGTTAAAGTGTACTTGTAATGTACTTGTTTAAGTTAAGCCAATTAGGCCCCTTTATGTATAAACACATAAAGTTTAAGATTTTCATTGATTATTTGATAAGATCGCTAGATTATTGGCATAACACCTGCTTCAAGTTTTTTTTATAAGATCAACTTATCTTTGCAGACTTATTGAGCATCACTCAAAAAAGTATTTGCTTAGCTTGAGTATCTAAAATACTTTATAGATTACAAAAAGTGCTGAAAACTATTCATTCCTTTTCATTTAGAATGTTTCATAGTTAAGGTTTGAAAAAGACTAGCAAAGAACAAATTTTAAAAAATTCTAAGCATACCAGCTTCTTTATTTTGACGTTGTTTCTTGTTTCGAAGATCTTTCTTGGAGGCAGGCATTTTATTAATACTTTATTTTATGAAATTGTTATATATCTAAATAAACCAGTCATTACGACCAGAACCCCACTCTGCAAGTAGAAAATTGAAAATGAAAATAGGCGTCCATAAACCATACGATATAACTTTTAAAAATGTTGAAATTTAATAAGTAAAAAATAAATGAAACTGATAAATTAAATTTTTGAAATCAAAAAATTAAACAACATAAAATACACATAAAACTAGGCAAAAGTAAACAACTCATGCAGTAGCCGAATCATTACGACGGCATACACACACGTGAGAAAATGCGCTATGAATTGTGGTATGTAAAGTCTTTTAAAAGAAGAAGCAGAAAAGTTGCGATGCAACTTTTTTGTTGTGTTGCAACTTTTTTGTCCCTAGTTATACCTTAGAGTTAAACACTTAGGGGGGTATCTAAGGCATTTGTTACGTCGTTGGGCGTATCCTAAAAAAATCAAACAAAAGTTTTTCAACTTTAAGTTATTGTTGGAAAAAATTTTTTTTACTATATATACCGAAAAATCGCATAAGTTAGGTCTCGCCTAAAATCGTTAAATTGCCTATTTTCGGCTTTAAGCATTCATCTATCACGCAAAATTAAAAACTTTTCAATTTTTTTCAATTTATTTAAACCAGGGCCGACACAATGGCCGTGCGAATTATGTCATAAGGGGGCCAGCGTGGCTGAGGCGCATAGGTTTGCGTAATTCAAGTTCTAAGTTTTTTACATAATAGGGGCGCCAAATTTTATAAGTTACACTATTGATATTTTACATTTTTGCTCAGCACTTCGATGAAAAAATAATTAGATCAAGGAGAAGTAGTTGATTAATTGTTGAAACAATAAGTTAGTGAGTTAATTGTTTACTTAAAAGTCCTTTAAAAGAACCATGTTTTGTTAAATGTTTATTGCAATCGTAAATTTATATTTAGGGGCGTCGTTTGTTTTTTAATTTATTGATTTTGTATGTGTTTGCTCTTTAGTTTAATGAAAAAATAATTACAGCAAATTGTCGTAGTTAGTTAATTATTCGAAAGAATAAGTTTATGAGTCATCATTTCTGGCCTTATAGAGGATACCAATACTTTTCGCAACTTTTGTTGATATATAATCAATATGAGCTTTCCATGTCATATTTTCGTCAAGATATATACCTAGAAACTTTAAAACAGAGTCTTTTTTTATTTCTACTTTGTCAATATAAAGTTTAGGTAAATCATAAGGCAAAAAGCGTTTTTTTTTTAAGGAGTGGAAAAGGATCCACTTTGTTTTCTCAATATTTAAGGTTAATTTATTGCATTTAAACCAGTTAGAAACTTGATTAAGTTCTTTATTCATATCTAAAAAAAGTTTGTTAATGTCTTTGTTTGACAAAAATAAATTGGTATCGTCGGCAAACATGATGCTTATAAGATTCGAGGCCTTATTTAGATCGTTGACGTATACTAAAAAGAGAAGTGGGCCAAGGATAGAACCCACATTTTATTTCAATTAATGTTTTATTTTGAAGATCAATAGGAAGCAATTCTTCTCCGTGGTAGACGAATTGCTTTCTGTTTGACAAGTAGCTTTTATACCATTTGATCATTTTACCAGTTATTCCGTAGAACTCAAGTTTTTTAAGTAAGATATCATGATTGACTGTATCAAAAGCCTTTGATAAATCGACAAAAACACCAAGTGTATATTGTGATTTAGGAAAAGAATTTGAGACTTCACGTGTAATTTGAATAACGGCTTGTTCAGTTGAACTATTTTTTTTAAAGCCAAACTGATTTTTATATAGTAAATTATTTGAAACCAGGTAGTTGTATGTTTTTTCGAAGATAATTTTTTCTAATATTTTTGAAAACGTAGGAAGGATAGAAATAGGGCGATAATTATTTACGTTTGATTTTTCTCCTTCTTTATAAATCGGGATAACTTTTGCAATTTTTAATGGATCAGGGAAAACCCCTTGTTGTATAGATGTTTGGAAAACTTTAAATAAAATATTTTTCAAACTTTCATAGCAATCTATAATAATGTTCCCGTTTATTCCATCCGCACCGGTTCTTTTGTTTTTTTTTTAAAGATTTGAAGGCTCTTTCAAACTCTTCAATCGATAAGTCTAGGAATAAGTCATGGGAAGAAAGTAAATTATTTGAAGTTGTCAAAAAATCATTAAAGGAAATATTTGTAGATGGAATCCTATCAGCCAACCTACTTCCGATATCAGTAAAATATTTATTAAACTCTTTTGCTATTTCATTTGGTTCATATACACATACGTTGTTTATCTTAATCATTTTCGGAAGAAAATTTGAACAGGTTTTCTGTTTTCCCGTTATTTCTTTCAATATTTTCCATATTTGTTTTGAGTCATTTTTATATTTAGTGATTAAATTAGAGTAATAATTTTTTTTTAGGTTTTTGCGAATTTTTTCAAATAGAGTTTTGTAATTTTTATATATGCGTAAATTAGCATGAGATTTTGTTTTTAAATATTTTATATACAATTTTTGTTTAATTTTTGAAGATTTTTTGAGACCCTTGGTAATCCAAGGACTACTTAAGGTTTTTGGTTTTAAGGTTATTTCGGAAACGGGAAAATTCGCATCGTACACCGAGAAGAATGTATTAGAGAACTTATTATAGATTGCATTTATGTCTTCATTAAAATTTATATGCTTCCAGTTTAACAACGATAATTGATATTTAAATGCTTCTAAATTTTTTTTGTTAAAAATACGTTTTCTTATAGTTTGACTTTTATTAATGTTAGGAGTTGAAATTGTGTTAATTGTTAGAAAAATGGGGAAATGGTCTCATATATCTGATTTTATAATGCCTATTTGAATGTCATTGTTATATATATTTGTTGTTAAAATATTGTCTATAAGGGTGGTTGAGTTTTCTGTTATTCGAGTAGGCCGGTTTATAAGCGGTATTACTCCTGATACAAATATTTCATCATAAAATTTCGTTAGCAATCCATATTTAAATCGCCAATTACAAAGTTTTTTTTCTTTTCTTTGTTACCTTTATGAAAAACGTTGTGCTTTAAGTATAAGCTTAAATTTTCTGACGCACCACCAGGTGGTCTATAACAACAACTTAGTAGAATGCTTTTGCTTTTTAACTTTTCGCTTTTATTGTTTAAAATTTCAATTGTAACGATTTCTTTATCGCCATCAGAAACGCACAGATCATTCCTAACGTTATGCGAAATGTTTTGTTTTATGTAAATCAGAATTCCTCCACTGCGTTTATTTAATTGTCTTTCTAATAAAATTGTTTCAAAATTAGGAAAATGGAAATTAGAGTTATTATTAAGCTCATTTTGTGAACACCAAGTTTCCGTTAAGCAAATAATATCAAAATAGTTTTTAGTTTCTTCTATAAAATGTCGAAGATTTTCAAAATTTTTGTTCATACTTCTTATATTTATGTGGACAATTCTAATTTTTTTGTTTTCATCGCCATTTTTAGAAAGAAATTCTTTTAACTCACTAGCATAATGATAAAAACAATCTACTTTTAAGTCATTAAAATAATTAATATCTGTATCTGTGTTTTCATCAGATCCAATGTATTTGTTTCTAAAGTTGAAAATAAGTGATTCATAGTCATCCATTTTATATTTTTTGTTGTTATTTTGTTTTTTGTGTGCTGAATAAGATTTAAAAGAATTTCTTATACTTCTGACTTCTTTTGAACACAGTACTTTTCCTAATATGCTAAAAATTGCTAAAGTCAATCCTGTTTAGAAAAATGGAGATTGTAATAATATGTCTAACTACCGTCCAATTTCCCTCCTACCAGTGTTCTCTAAAGTTTATGAAAAAGTAATCTACAATCGAATTTATAATTACTTGAAGTTAAACAAACTTTTATATGAAAATCAATTTGGATTTCAAAAAAGTTGCTCAACACAACATGCTATCATTGAACTTTACTAATAAAATATTACAATTTTTGATAAAGGAGATCATGTACTGGGAGTATTTATAGACCTTTCAAAGGCATTTGATACAGTTGACCACAATATCTTACTATCAAAATTAAAACATTATGGTATCAAAGGACTAATGTATAAATGGGTAAAAAACTATCTGAGTAACAGAAAGCAGTTTGTAATTAACAATGAGTCAAATGTTCTTGATATTGAGTGTGGGGTCCCCCAAGGCTCAATCTTAGGACCGTTATTGTTTTTAATTAACATCAATGATATGCATAAAGCATCATCTATAGTATCTTCAATAATGTATGCGATGGCATAACTTTATTTTATAATCATAGTAATTTAAAATCAATGTTTGGAACGATGAATACTGAACTGGAAAACTTTAATTTATGGTTTAGAGCAAATAAACTATCCTTATAAACCGTGAAAAAACTAACTACATCCTATTTCATAAAACAGGTCAAACAATGACTCTACCGTTAAAAGTTTCAGAATTGCTCATTAACAACGTAACAATAAAACGGGAAAAATATGCAAAATTTTCTTGGTGTTTATATTGATGAAAATCTATCATGGAGAAATCATATTGGACACATTAAAACAAAAATATCCTCTGCAATAGGTATCTTATATAAATGTCGCCCGTTTCTTGATTTCTGTTCAACATTCACAGTCATCTCACATATGCTAATATAGTGTGGGCTTATACACACAAAATAAAATTAGTCAAACTACAAGGCTTGCAAAACTATGCTCGTAAAGTAATTCATTATCTAGGTAAAATGGACAATCCTTCCAATGCGATGACAAATATGAAAGCCTTAAACTTGGAAAAACTTAATTTATATCAGACTCTTATTTTTATGTTTAAATATGAAAATAATGTGCTACCAAATTCCTTTTTAGACATATTTCCGTCATCATTTTCTCAAAGTTATAACCTGCGATCAAATAGCTTCCATAACTGTTATATTAAAAAAACTAAAACCCGGGGTTCTGAATTTTCAATTATGTCACAGGGTCCTAAAAAATAGAAAAACTTGAAAAATCAAAAATTAAAAGACTTTAATGAAATATCGTCGTTTAAACGGCAAGCAAAGCTGCATATTCTTAGTTTGTAAAAATGATTAAAATAAATTAAAAAAAAAGAAAAATTATAAAAAGTAAAAAAAAAAATAATTATAAAAAATTTTTTTTTTTGAATATGTATGTATATATGTGTGTGTGTATGTATGTGTGTATATGTGTATGTGTGTATATGTATATGTGTGTATATGTGTGTATATGTATATGTATATGTATATGTATATATGTATACCTATATATGTATATGTGTATATGTGTATGTGTGTATGTGTATATATGTATATATGTATATATGTATATGTGCATGTGTATGTGTGTATGTATATATATATGTATGTGTGTGTGTATGTGTTTTAGGGTGTCCTAAAAAAAAAAATTTTTTTGCACGCATGTTTTTCCCATTCCTTTTTGTGTACTGAGTTCATATGTATGACTAAAATTATTTTTTAGGTCAATTTCAGCTATATGTAAAATCTCAATTTCTTCATTTTTGATTGATGACATTTAATAACACTATTTTAGATACGGACCTAGTAATTTTACATTATTAATGCCCCTTGCCCTAGAGGATTTGTAAAACTAATGATTTTAGACTTTATAAGAATCCATCTGACATTTTTTGTACAGAAGGTTTATTGAAGCCTGATTTACAAAAGGGTTGTTAATAATGACTATTTGAAAACATTTGTGTTTTCTGTATACTGTTTTATTTTAACTGGTTTTTGTTTATTATTTTGATTTTAACAGCTTATAATAATAACTAGAAACTGTTATTTTACTAGAATAAGAACTATTTTTTTCATATATAATTATGTAATAGTTATGAATATCTTCACTATATATATATTAACTTGAAAATTGTATCATAAAATGTAATTTTTTTAAGGGGATATTAAAATTAAATTTGTTTAAAATTTGTTTTAGCATTAACTAATAATAAAATTACTAACTTAAATGGGTACTAAAAAAAAAAAGAAAAAAAGAAAGGCGAGAAAAGAAAGTACAGCATGTCAACAAACCCAATAAATTAGCTGGCAACCATCGGAAATATTCTTAGATACATCCAGTTTCTAAAATCTCCCAGTTAAAACAAATAATAATTATTGTTGTATAAATATACTATAAAACAATGATAAAAAATGGTCTATTTTATGCAATACATAATTAGTCTAGTATCACCCCCTCCCCTAAATGTTTTTAAAAATGAGACACAATTACGTAACAACAAAAAATATCATAACAATTAATACTTGTCTACTTTTATTTTAGATCTATAAGATTTCAATCTACTAAGTTAATAGTAGCCTGCCCTCAGAAGCATGAGAGCAGGGACCTGATCTGCAAAGATAGTTTCTGCAAGAATTCTGAACAAAGATGTGTTGCCTCCGCTGTAATAGACGTTTGGAAGAAAGCAGGATTTCAAGATTTTATCATCATCCAGTTGTCAGGGATAAGATACTGAAGGATCCAGTGTCAGGGATAAGATACTGAAGCTCCATAATAAGTACACAAATTTGTATCATCCAAATCATTAAACTGGAACTCTTGCGGTAGCAATTTCTTAATCATTAAATTGGAACTCTAGCGATAACAACTTCTCTAAAATACAGAATGAGTTTTTAGAGGAGAATCATACACTCTTTGATATTTCATTGGCAAGTTTTGAACAAAAAGTCAATCAGGATCGTTTTCGTTCTGAGAATGCCAAATATGGGGATATTCAGTTCTATCTAGATCAAAAAGGAGAGCGAAACATGTATATTGCAGAAGAACTTGATGAAGTATTTCAAAATTTAGTTAAAAATAAAAATGGTCGCCTGGTCGACGTACTGCTAGGTGTTGTTCAACAACACCTAGCAGTACGTCGACCAGGCTAAAGCAATTTTGAATCTGCTAGAATACTTCAACACTGTTGATCAAATATTTGCTGTTTGCTGTGACACTACGGCATCTAATACTGAAATACACTCTGGAGCTGTTGTTATCCTTAGCTCCATTCTTAACATTCCACTTATATGGTTTCTCTGTAGATGACATATGCTAGAAATACACATCTCACACTTTATGTAGGCTTTGACTGGAGAGAAGACCAAGGGCCCAAGAAAAGGGCTGTATGTCAAACTCCAGAAAAATTGGCATTCAGTCAAGAAAGAGGTGGACAAGATGGTAGACCTAGTTAGGTTTGATTGGAGTCAGCTTCAGGCTGGGTCACCCCTTTATGAAATTGCTAAGAAAGCTGTGGAGTTTGGAAAAGAAGCCCTTGCCTCAAAAGTTAGGAGTGTTTACAGGCAACTATGTGAGCTTTTTGTTTTCTATTTAGGAGGAGAAGTACATGGATTTTGTTTCCATCAACCTGGAGTCTGTCATGAAGCCAGGTATAATATATTGAAAAAAAAAATCTTAGATAAATTATAAAGTTTGTGTAAGTATTATAAATAACATATAAATAAAAAATATGATAAATAAATATTAATGGTAACAAAATCCTAATCTTTAGGTTTATGGTTGATGCTTTATACATTCTTACCTTGAGAATAACAGAAAAGATAGCCATGATTATGAGTAAAAAGGAAAAAATATGATAGAGACA